GGCGGGAGGGGCTGCGCTGCTGGGGGGAGGAAGGGGAAGGAGCTGCTTTCCTTTAGGGGGGTCCTGGGGGGGGGGGTTCAGTACTTGACCCCCGAGGACTTGACCGTGGTGGTGGTGACACATCTGCGCACCGAGGACGAGCCGCCCCCGGCCACGAAGTTTCCGGCGGAGGAGCTGCACACCCTCCCGCTGCCGGAGGAGAAGCCCCCGCTGAGGATCCCCCCTCCCACCCCGCAGCCGCCCCCGACGACGCTTCCTCCTCCGACCACGCACACTCCTCCTCCTGCCAGCCCGTTGCCGGCCCCGAAGCCGCCGGCCCGGCCCCCGCACACGGTGGTCCTGCCCACCACGGCTGCAAGAGAGGGGGAGAGCGGGTGAACATCCTCGAACATCCCGGGAATCCTCAAAAAAAAAACCCCCCCCCCCCAGGATAAAGGTGATTCCCGAGAGAAAAGGATGGAAAAAATACTCACAGACGTTGACGTTGGACGGGTTGTCTCCGCAGAGCCTGAGAAGGGAGAGGAGCACGGGTGAGCCTGAGACAAGTGAGCCCAAAACTCCCCGAAATCCCCCCGATATTCCCTGTATATCCCATTTCATTTAAGATCACTCAAACCCACGGAGGAACGTTCCACCTTGGGACCACGTTTCCATTTTGGGCTTCAAAATTCGGAGTTAGAAAAAGGGAGGGAAATCAGATTTCAGCACCAAACACGCTGTGAGAGGTGATGAGAGGTTAATTCAACCCAAGGAGGGGCAGGAGCTCGATCAGGCCGAGGTTGGGAGGTCTCACCTGTTCTCCTCCCCCTCCAGCAGCTTCCTGTACATGGCGATCTCCACGTCCAGCGCGATCTTGATGTTCAGCAGCTCCTGGTACTCCTTCAGCAGCCGGGCCAGCTCCTCCTTGTCCTTGCTCAGGGCACATTCCAGCTCCTCCAGCTTCCTGCGGGCGTCCTTGAGGGCCATCTCACCCCTCTCCTCGGCCTCGGCGATGGCCGACTGCAGGTGATGGTTCTGCGGGAAGGAAACGTTTCTTGTTCCTGGAGAATCCTCGGGGATTCACTGGGGGGAAAAACAGGCAGGAACCACCCCAGGAGGCACCAACCAGCCCTTTACCTGCTTCTTCACGTTCTCGATCTCCGTCCTCAGCCTCTGCACGTTCCTGGTCAGCTCCTGGATCTCGATCTTGGTGTTCCGCAGGTTGTCCCCGTGGCGCCCGGCCGTGCTCTGCAGCTCCTCGTACTGGTGGCACGGGGACAAAGGGACCCGTCAGTGACACAACCGACTCAGGGCTTGGGTGTTCCCCTTGCTCCAGGGGCCTCCACTCCCTGCCAGGAGCTCACCCTGCTCTGGTACCA